TTGAACCCCCAAAATAAGTGCTTGGCCTTATTTTTGAGGAGGTCTTATTTTTGTGGTGCAGGAGGCGGCGAGCATGATCACCTCATGGCTGCTGCTGTGTTGATATATTTTTGGAGAGGGCTTATTTTAGGGGAGGACTTATTTTAGCACATGCGCTCAAAAGCCTGATTGGGCTTATTATCCAGGAAGGTCTTGTTTTTGAGGAAACAGGGTATATGAAGCAGATCTCATTTCTGCTATGGGTAACCTATAACAGAAATGATATGAAAGTAATTTGTTTCCTCCATAATACAGTATTTAATTAATATAACTAACACCATTTGCTAGGAGCTCCTAGGCGGACCAGCAGAGGGGGGGGGAGAGGAGAGGGTTCCATGCAAGGGTCAGGCGCATGTGCTCATGCATGCAACTCCTTGGAGCTACACACACAAGCATGCACATCTGCCACTCACACATGGAGCTGTGCATGAGTGTCTGCCAGGTATGCAAATGGAACTGCGCATACACACTCACTCACCCGCCACTTGCAGGACTGGTTCCAAACTGGCTGCAGTCCAGTAGTGGGCCGCAGCTCAGGCGTTGGAGATCTCTGTCTTAAAAGAACAATGGGGCAAAAAAATAAGATTCATTAGCTAACATTGACTGAACTGGGTTGCTGCTAGAAAAATAAATTTAAAAAACCACTTCCAAAATTTTTGTAGCTCATGAAAAATAAGACGTAGAGAACTAAGTTTGAAATTGGTACATTCCAGTTCAATTCCAGACATTTTTATATATACGCTATCATTCCACAAAAATTATAATCAAAACAATTCATAGTAGCATTGGAAAGCAACATGCAACTAAGACTAGAACAAATAAAAGCCAGATAAATGACAAAATATATAAGGCATTAACAAAAATTTAATTATACCAGGACTGATGAATTGTGTAAAAGTGTATCAGATAATCTCTCTCTATATATATATATATATTAGATTATAAACAATACTTCACAAATAATGTCCTAACAATTGTTACATGTAATAACCTATCCATAAAAATACAATTCTTAACAAAGGGTTAAAAAAAACATACTAAGCAGTTTTTCCAGAACAACTAAAAAGAGAAATATAGCTCTGTTATTCAGCCAGATCTCTGATTGGATTCTCCTTAATTCAGTGTCCTCTGGCATCACACAGACTTTTAACATTTTACATTGTTCTTCTTTCCTCAGAGAAAATGCGACCAATATTGGCCAATGGAAAACAGTGAGGAATATGGCCACATCATTGTCACACTGAAGAGCACAAAAGTACATGCTTGTTACACTGTCCGCCGCTTCACAGTCAGGAATGCAAAAATGAAAAAAGTGAGCAATATCATTACCCTCCATTGGTTCAAAAATAAATGCCCATTTGGGATGTTGTTACTGAGTGTGACTCATTCATACATACATACACTATTCGAAGATTGTTGTGATCGCAAGACTCTCTCTACAGTGTACAACGAAGCAGAAAGGGCCAGAAAACCAAGAACAATGCAATGCGCATAGCAGAAAATAAAATTCTATGTCTTTACAATTTGACAAGGCTTGGGAAGTTAAGGATGTTTAATGGCTGAGTGAAATGAGTACAATAATTGAAATTACAAGTGAATGAAAAAGAAAATAGTTCATCAACATCTTTTTTTTTCAAATTTGACACTGTTGAACAAGGAATTTATATTAGGCATCATAAATTACTGTAATGGTTTTCTGAGTAGGCTCAGCATTAAAAATAAGCAAATTAAACAAAACAAGAGTTTTGTAAAATTTTAAAAATGTATACAAATTGCCAAATAGTTTACATATATTTCCTATCTGTCCAATCATTATAGTGAAGGATTACAGAGATTGTAGTCCAGTAACTTTGGGAGGGCCAATTTTTACTACTCTTAAATTCAAGTGAAATACGGCTATGAACCTGAAAGACATAGATCAATTTTATCTTAGTTGCATTTTGGAGGATAGTTTTCAATTCATGTCAGGCTGTAAGAACTTAATTTGAACTATCTCTTATAAACTGATATGTTAGTCCAATAATGCAAAATTATGAAGGTTGCCTTGTAAAGCAAAGTATATCTCAATTGTTAGATAATAGTGGTATATTAGATTTTACAGGCCTTTTTCACATAAAATCCTTAAATTAAAGCACCATTGAGTTTATTCTGCTCTAGTGTGTCCAAGAGAGAACTGAACAGAAAAGGGGAAAATGTGAGCACAAGGAAACCTTGATGTTAATTAATATTAATATTTTCTTCTTGTATGTTTCATGACTTCTGGATCAAAAGGGGAATCCCAAAGGACGTCAAAACGAAAGGACAGTCATTCAGTACCATTACACACAGTGGCCTGACATGGGAGTACCTGAATATGCACTTCCGGTGCTGACGTTTGTGAGAAGATCCTCTGCAGCCAGATCTGCTGAAATGGGTCCAGTAATTGTACATTGCAGGTATGTTTGGACATTGTCAGTCCATTCTTGTTGATCACAGATGTCAAACTCGTCACGTCACATGATGTCATGTGATGTATAGTGACATTTTTGTCTTCATGGAACTGGGGTGGGCATGGCATGCATGTGACACATCTGGCCCACAGGCTGCTAGTTTGACACCCCTAGTGTAACTATTCTATTCTATTCTATTCTATTCTATCCAACTTCTACCCTCAAAACGACGCTATANGGCTTTCTATCAGTATACTTAAAATAAAATAATAACATTTCAAAAAATGAATAATATCCTTCTTTCAGGCCAGTTTTCTGAGATAGATAATGACAATCTTTTGACATTAAAAATATATAGATTTGGTTTAGAAGAGTGACTCGAAGAAGTTTACAGCTCAGTGTTCTAGATTAATTTTTTTCCAATGTGATACTAATTTCCAAAAAGTCTTTAATAGAGTGGAGATTCATTAAAAGGATAGGATTCAATACTGATAAGTAGAATTCTACTCACATATTCCTTTTCTCTGCACACATTGAATTTTTTTAAACTGCACTAAGCCGGTCTCCAGGGAGATATTCACTTTTCCTGCCATGATTTGAAATAAATATCAATTTTGAACGAGAACATTGCCAAAATTCTGATGCAGTCTCATAAAAGCCATTTTCCTCATGTTTGTCACTGAAAATTTCCAACTTTTTAGAACTGAAATGTCCCATTTCTGTGACTTTTGTTAACAGAAGCTTAATTTGATCTCAACAAATTATTTACCTGATTGTCTTTGGCATTCCATTGTACCCCAAATTGATTAATAACTTTGAAATTAACAGGTGTTCCAAGAAAACAGTCAAAACACTTTGATCAGCAACTGAGAAAATGCTTGCTATTTGCTGAACAACTTATTTTTAGATCAATTCAATTCCTCGGTAACATTTACTGACACGAGAGAGAATTGGCTTTTCAGTTCTTTCCTTAGTCAATCATCTACGAAAAAAGAAAAATGTGCCAGGCTTACTTTCTTAAATGTGTACTTTCCTTGTTCTTTTCTGCAGATGATCATAGTCGAGTGAAACTAAGACCTTTACCAGGAAAAGATTCAAAGCACAGCGACTACATTAATGCCAATTATGTTGATGTGAGTTGTTTTGTTACTTCCTCAGCTCTCTTGAGAAATCTTGTCCCTCAGAAGAAACAGAAACTCCTAATGCATGCAGAACTTTTCATTTTTCAATTTAAACTCCAAACTCCTCAAACGTTCAGTAGAAAAGAGCTCTGCTCCGGAGAGGTATACATTATTAATATGATTGCTATTACAGATACTTTTATCTTACATACTATTGTGATTTCCTTTGAAGGGTTACAACAAAGCGAAAGCCTACATTGCCACCCAGGGCCCTTTAAAGTCAACATTTGAAGATTTTTGGAGAATGATTTGGGAGCAAAACACTGGAATTATCATCATGATTACAAATCTTGTGGAAAAAGGAAGAGTAAGCAGAATAGCCTACATTTATTACCATAACATTTTTCTCAGTTCTGTGAAAATTCTGTGAGATGTGTGATCTTTTTTCAGTTTTGTTAAGGAGTTGCATTGGTTTCATTGTAACATAAAATGTAATAACAAATCACTACCATGTTTCCCTGAAAATAAGACAGGTTTATTTTCTTTTGAACCCCCAAAATAAGTGCTCGGCCTTATTTTTGAGGAGGCCTTATTTTTGTGGTGCAGGAGGCGGCAAGCATGATTACCTCATGGCTGCTGCTGTGTT